GGTGCCATGTGCGCGGGATGGAGGGTCTGCTGGAGGGGCTTTGCCCCGGGGAGGCGTCCGGCCCGGCTGTGCCCAGAGATCGGCCTCGGCAGCGGCACCGGCCGGCAAGCCGGGACCGCGCCCTGCCCCGGTCCGGGCTCCTCAGGACTAGAGAGACAGGGAGCTACTGGAGAAGGTCCAGGGGAGGCTAAAAGATCGTTAAGGGATTGGAGCATCTCTCTTGTAAGGACAGACAGTGGGAGCTGTGCCTGTTTAGTGTAGAAAAGAGAGTGTGGATGAAAGGGGATCTCATCAATGCATATCACTGTGTCAAGGCGGGTGCCAAGGGGATGGTGCCAGACTCATTTCAGTGGTGCCCAGCGATAGGATGAGCAGCAATGTCCATGAATTAAAGCATAAGAAATTTCCCCACAACATGAGAAGAACTCTACTTTGAGGCTGGCAGGGCACTGGAACAGGCTGCCCAGGGAGGTCACAGAGCTTCCTTCTCTGGGGACATTCCAAACCCACCTGGACGTGCTCCTATGTCACCCGCTCCAGGTGACCCTGCCTTGGCAGGGGGGGTTGGACTGGATGATCTCCAAAGGTCCCTTCCAACCCTAATGATTCTGGGATTCTGTGACTTCTCTGGGGAGCCACCTTCACTCTGGTGATGTGGTACCAAAAATAAAAGCTGTGTAACCCCCTTCAAAGGTGATCTCTGCTGTAGGAAGATGGGTTTTGAAAAGAGCATGCAAAAGTGGTGAGAAGGGACAGTGCTACATTTAAATAGACTTTGTTTCCTTCAATAATTGAAGACAACCAAAAGTTGACTTTAGAAATGACAACAGGTAAGGCTGTCAAAACTAGTCACAGAAATAAACTTCACATGAAACCATCCAGGAATATTAATGGCTTAGTCTCTTGGAGGCCTGACTTGTAAGCTTTCCCTCACCCTCCTGCTCTTGTATACTTCTTGATTTTTGTATTTCACTGTGATATTTTCAAATGGGAAATAAGTTTAAAAAAATTACCATGCTAGAGCTGTCACAACAAAATTTAAGCAATGAGGCTTAAATCATTGATAGATGCATAAGAATTTACGTATTTCAGTAGTCTCTACTGTAGCCTTCGTTACAGGCAAATAGACATATTTATTCAGAACAATTGAATTATCTATATCCCTAAAGTAGGATGAATTTTCAGGAGGTATTGTTCTTGAAATGCCATGCCATCTGGTACCTTTTTATTTTTGAATTTCCTCTTCAGCTTCAATGCCTAATTTCTAAACCAGGAAAGTAGAGGCAGTGAAACATTTTCTTCTGTCACCAAGAGAAAGAGTATGTGTGGAAACTTCAACTGTTTTAGACATCTCTACCACACTTACTTTCTTTAATGGCAAAAAATGTTCGTTTAAATCAAACTGTTAATTCTTTCTTTTATGTTCTTTTTGTTTTCCCAATTATATTTTGCTATTTTAAAAATACAAAGTCAAATTATAAAAAGATAGTAATTTTTAAGATGTTCTGCATGTAGGAATTATACTCTGCTCGAAGAAGAGGGCAGTGTAATCACAGTTTAGCTATAATGCTCTTACAGAGTGTGATCCTTTACTGTTTTGTGGGTTTAGTTTTTTCTTCTGCCACAACACTGATATCTTTCTCTTTTTTTAACAGAGCATACCTGAAATACCTCCTAAGCCTGGAGAACTGAGAACAGAACTGTTGGGTCTAAAAGAAAGATCAAGCAAAGTTCAGAGTTCACAACAGTGACCAGAAGTTACTTCCGTTGTGAAAACTAGGACTGATAAAATATTTATTCAACTGTTTAAGTTGCAGAAATATGTACTGCTTTAATGCTTTTTTGCTTTCCTTTAAGCAGAGTTTAAGGCAGCATTTAAAATAAATGTACAGTGAGTACTGTTGTTAAAAGTCCAGTCAGTTGTGTGCCAAAATAATTGTGACTTTTTAAATCTGGATTGCAGTGTAACTGTCCTTCAGAATAAAGGGTTAAACCATGACAAAGACGTATCACTGACTGGAAACCTACTTTGGTCCACTGTTAAGGCTGGGATCTTACAGCTTGGTCATTTTAGTTAAAATGGGGCCACTCAGATTACACTGAAATTATGTATGTTCGTACTCTATTTGGGCATCTTCATCTGTTTATGGCTGCTTTTGATAGCTGCAGTTATACAAAACTGATAGATTACACATTAAGGAAACAAAAAAAAGCTCCCTAATTTCTCCTGACAAAGTATGTGGATGTCTTGTAATAGCAGAGGGATGCATAAATGATCCCTGCAAGTCCTACTTTTACATCTGTTCCAGCTGTGAAGCTGTTGTTTTATTTATGTCTGCCTAAGTTGGAGTGGTTTTCCTAGGAAGAAGATTTTGTAATCCTTCTGCATGTGTATGTGCCTTTGCTCTCACACAGGTTTACAACTGTGGGTGGGATGAGATCCTCTCCTGCTCTTGTGTGACGTTCAGGATACAGCCTGCACTTAGCACGAGGTCACAGGCTCTCTCTCTTGGGCACCTTTACCAATGACAGCAAGCATTGATAGAAACATTTTAAATCCGAATCAAATCAGTCAACAAGACCATTTCAGTAGGTCCAGTTCTGGTGAAAATACTTTTCCCCTTACTGCACCTAGACAAAGCTGAGATCAGCAACCTTCCACCTCAGCGTAAGAGAAACTTTGTTGAAGAGACAAGATGGGGCAGTTCAGCAGTATTTTGTTCCTGTTCTAACTGGGTCAGGAACAGCAGTTTCTCAGTGATCCCCTTACAGAGCCAGGATTCACCAACCCCTTATTCTGTTACTCACACTTTGTCAGATTATCACCTCTTTCATGTTGTTGATTTCTGACGTGAAAAATGCATTTCTCCCCTTTTTCTAAAGGCTTTTCAGATCTAAAGGCTGCAAAGGGAAATTTCTGCTAATTAGGCTTGGATTTCTAGGTGTATTCTGCTGCTGCTGGAAACTGAGCAACAGGGAGCTCAGCCTTTTCTAGCACTGAGAGAACTGTCCTCATTAGTGCCCCTCTAGGAACAGCAAAGCTGACAACGCACCAGGTTTTAACAGAAGTGACAGCCCCAGTCAGCATAACTGCAGCACTGAAGGAAACAGCCTGATGGGAGACACTTCTTCCAGCATCGACACTGTTTTGCCTCAGAGCTGACAAATAAGTAGGCTTACAAGTGCATTCTGTGCTTATTAATAGCAAACACTTGTCACTCCAGGGTCTAGAGCAAGCAGCTGGACCACAGCTACGTTGCACATGATACTCTCAGCTGAAGCAGATGAAGAAGCACAAAGCATGACTCTCAAGTGTGCTCTTTATTATTTCTGAAATTGAATTGTCATCCTCAAACCCATCAAGGCAACGAGAACTTTAGCTATACAACAGAGCAAAGGTTGCCTAAGTCTACAAGTAATTAACAGACTAAGAATACTGTAACAAGCAACCCTACACTTCCGATATTCCACTTTGGTTTGTTGGCTGCAAAAGCACTTCCAATGATACAGGAGCGAGTTGCAGGTGCTGCTCGGGGTCAAATAGAGAGATAGAGGTGGGGGTACTAAGTATATACTCAGAAAGGTATCACTGAAAATAAGTGATTCTTTTGGAAGTATTAAAGCCTCAGCAGCGGTTGATTGCTACACAGCACAAAAAATTGCACTGCTACAGTAAGAGTAACAAGTCTCCAGAAATGGTGCACCTGCCCTGGTCACTAATTTACTGCCAAGGGCTGCTATTAGAACTGACACTGCCAGCTGCTGAAGGACATACTGGTGGTGTCAGACCACTCAGCATGTGCCAGAAACAGAAGGCTCTTCCCTAAGATATTACTACACTGAGCAGAAAGCAGAACTCCAAACTCTCTCAAAAACACCCCAAACTAAGCTTTCATTCCTTAAGGTCTTAAACAGCATACTTCAATAAAACCATCTCTATAAACCCTAACACCATAACCACAGTGACACATGGCATATTTATTGCATGGAAACTGTAATCAGGCAATATAGAAGCCTAGTAAAAGTAAGTGGAAAGCAAGTTCTTCAGGTCATTGTTTAGTGCTCTAACCTAATAAGAAAGTTTATTTTGCTTCAGACTGCAGAACCTTGTAACTTCACTGAAGTTCTGTTGAAGAAACAGAAGGGAGGGGTTCTTAAGTAGAATCACTATGTAGAAGTACCATCCCTATGTACTGCTTCCACAGAGGAAGGCAAAAAAACCCCAAAACCCTAAACCCTTCAGTGTAAACACTTTCTACCAACCCTGGGAAGATGTTTTAAAGTAGAGGCACTACTGAGAAAATGCAGTGCTTCATCCAACCACTACATAAAACTAACCTAATGAATAGAAGGGGTGCCTCCAGTTGAACCTGTATGCATTAACATTTGGTGTCAACAGATTTAGCTTGAGTTACGTGGAATATCTACAGTGCTTTGCCATACTAAAGAGACACAGAACAACACTGATAAAGTTTAGGAATAACAGCATTAAGGAGTAACCATGAGAAAAGAACTTCCAAACCTTTAAAAAAAGCCTGTAGGAAACAACTGCTGTAGCTACACAAGTCAAAGGCAGGCTTTCCAAGTACCACAGAGGATGGTACCAGCTCACAGGCAGTAAAAGCCACCTCTTAATGAAAGGAATTCCCCCCCATCCCAGCTGTAAAGCTACCACTGCCCAGCCCTTAGTTCTAATGCCATTTTAAATGCCTTGTCTCAACTTTAAGATGGCAGTAGATACATAACTTCTTGAATACTCTTTTAAACTTGCACAGTACAACACAGCTCTCAGATGCCAGGTGTATTCTGGCAAAGCAGCACAGCAGGTTTGTAAACACAAAAACCCAACCATAGCCATATGCTCCACTAGTAGGTGTGGCTGTGCCAGCATGGAAAGGCATGAGGATTGCCAACTGCCCATTTGTACAAAGGACCATCCCTTCATTTCTTTATGCCAGTCCACAAGGTGAGCTTTCCATGTATAAATTTAGAGTTAGTGGTGTTTGGGAACATTTTATTTTGTACATGACAAGATTTTACACCAAGTCAGTTAAATAATACAAATTTACATTCATGAGGAATGTTTTTAGAAAAGTGAACTTAAAAAACCCCCTCCTTTACCCTTAAACCCCACATCATCCCTCAACATTTTACAGTGAAAAAAACCAAAACAATCTAATTCACATTCCCTCCTAACCCCCCAATGCAGGACAGTAGTTGAGTGTAGTTTACAGTTCATCTTTCACATCTGTGGATTCCTGTCAAGACAAAGAAAGAATGAGGATATTGCTTTTTGAAAGTGGAAAAAGATTACAAGAGCTGTTCCACAGACCAGAAACTTTATATTACTGTAATCACAGGTTATTCTGCTGTGCAAGGATAACAGTAATAGCATCAAAATTAAGTAGCTATAGCACAATAAGCATTCTTCTGTAATTGTTTCCATAGGAGCTATAGATTTACACTAGTCACAAGAGGTCATCTTGCAGGTCTTTTCCAAGAAGCTACAGTATGGGAAGGGTTTAGCATATCCATCAAGACGTCATTAAAACTGCAGACATTAGCTAAGTGAAGGCTGACTTCGCATGATAGTTCAACCGTTTAGAAGCAATGCTGTTGTCTGCAGTCTTGCTAAAAGTCTGTATTGTAAAAGCACTTCAAACTACATTCTTGCTGGTTTTGGGGTTTGCCTGCAAGCTGTAGAAATACCAGGTACTCCAAAGCTTCTATCTTAAATTTAATTTAGCTCCATCTTATCCAAGTGTCATCTTCTTACAATGTAGTTTAATATGGAATTTGTGCTACTTTCCACATCCATTACCCCCCCCCCCCACCTAAGAAAAGCCTGGAAAACCTCACACTAAAATCTAGTGTCATGAACAAAGTGAACAAATCTATTTCCAGGAAGCACCACAGATAAAACTGCACATAAATATCAGCAAGAAAGTGTCAAACTTGAAACCCTACCTTCTGTGTCTCACTGTCCTCAGCATCAGCATCCACTTCCTCTTCATCCTGCTCTGCCTCCTCAGCTGCATCTTCAGGCTCTTCAGGTTCCTCTTCCACCTGTGTGACAGTCACAAGCAATTTGCTTTACTTGTTTAGGACGTTTACTAGTTGTGGACTAGCTAAACACAGGCTATGGAAGTATCCTAATGTTTGCCCCAAGCTACCTGAAGGAGAAGGCAAGTTCTGTTTAGCACTGACCCACTGTCATGCCTTCTCCAGCAAAATACCCAGGATAAGTTCTTGCACAGTATTATGAGAATCCATATTACTTATATCCACTTAGGAATTTCTCCAATAAAGAGACAGGCCCATATGCCTTTGACCCATAATTTACTCCTGTAGACCCGCCACTTAGCTAGGGACAGGACAATGCTTGAGAAGCATAATGAGGTAGCAGAATCTCAAGCAACTAGACAGAAGAGGTGGGAAAGGGAAAAACATGAGGAGGAAGTCCAGATTCATGGCTGGGCTTCCAGTGGCCCACTTATGTGGCAGGAAGCTGGATACATTTAATTGAATGGATGTGAATCAAACATGCACTTTTTAGATGTAGCAACAGTAAAGTCCACTATTAGCCCCAAGTTGAAGACAAACTAACCTTTGCATCCAGGTCAATATTTAAACTCAAACGAAGCATTCTTTCTATTCGGTCTCCATACTCCTTAGTGTCTGGCAACATATATCCTGATCTCAAAGTTGCAGTTTCAAACAATACCACTGCAAGATCTGAGACAGTTTTGTCATCTTCATTTTCCTAATGTGGAAGAATATGAAAAACCAGAACCAGACCGGTTAATTAGGCTGTGTGCAGCCAAGTAGTCAGTATTTCACTACTGTTATTTATTTACCTTGACTCGCCTGAGCATGTCCTTGATCAGTGGATGCCTGGGATTAATTTCAAATGTCTTCTTTTGGCTAGCATAGTAACTGAGAAAGAGAAAAGTCACATCACTAAGTTTTGAAGTACAGGACCCAATTTAGTCTTTAAACCCATGAACATTGGTTGCAGTCACAGAAACAAGTATATTCCCTCCTGCCCCACTTTAAAACTAGCTTAATTCTAAAAATATTCAAGATACTAAGTTCATCTTCTCTTGTCAATAAATGACAGCAAATGTCGTTAATGAGTCTTGCTCACCAGGCAGTTTTTAGCATTTTTTAGCATTTTTTCAATATTTTTTGACAATATAAGGCTCTAATGGAGACTAACTTGGTTACACGTGACCTGAAAAACACCAAGGATCATCTGAACCAGATGGAAGCTTGGTATAGGCACAGCAAGCAGGGGAGGCCATCAACTGTATTTCATGTCTGCTGCTACATAACTGAAAGCTTACTTTGTAGATATATCCTTCCCAGTTTGGTAAGCTTGAGCCTTCATGATTCTTTCCATGTTACCAGACCATCCATACTGACTGGCCACAAGAGCACATGGAGACTGCGTTAAACGCTGAGATAGCACAGCTTTTTCAATCTGTAGGAAAAATAAGTGCATTAATTTTCACAGAGGTAACAGCTTATACAGTGAATACAGTAAATAACTCTGAAATTTGTCACTCCAATATTTTGTGAAGAACATCTAATATCATATTCTAACTCATTATCTTTCTGAAATAAAGGTATTAAATATGTTTATCCATAGAGACAGAGAAGCTATTGTCAAGTCTGTGCTCAAATTATCTGAAAGGTATGTTGCAGCAAGTACAATAGCATTTAAAAATAATCATTACATGTAATGGAATATTTTACCTTGTCTTTTAGAGCTTTGTCTTTCATCCAGTTTAGAAGCGGTTCAAATTCCTTTTCCAAAGCTTCCCGACTCTCCTTAGACTTTTCACTTTCTTCAAACTTCACTCCTTCTTTTGCTACATTCTGAAACCTCTTGCCATCAAACTCTGGCAAAGCCTGAATGCAATACTCATCTACAGGTTCAGTCAGGTAGATCACTTCATAGCCCTTTTTCAGCAGACGTTCAACGAATGGTGAGGACTCAGCCTAAGATGACAAAACACATAAGATGCCAGTTTTATTGCATTTGTATCAGCAACTACTGAAACCTGTGCAACTATCTGACAAATGCTGGTACAAGAAAAACTGAACTGCAGTAGCAGCATAAGCGTGGAGACTCCACGTTTACAGCATATACATAATTCACAATGTCTATGGTATTAAAACTAGAAGCTATAATATTTTTTACCCCTTCTTTCTTTCACTCTCACGTACCTCCTTTCTACTGGCACCTGCCATGAAGTAAATTTTATCTTGTTTCTCTTTCATTCTTTCCACATACTGATCAAGGCTTGTGAGGTTACTCTCATGATGAGAGGACTGGAAGCGAAGAAGTTTAGCCAGTCGTGTACGATTGGAGTGATCCTCAATAACACCAAGCTTTACGTTAGTACCAAACTCTTTCCAGAACGTGTCGTTGTATTTTTCCTCTGCAATTTTCTTGATCATATCAAGAGTCTTGCGAACAAGTTTCTTTCTGATCACCTAAAAAAGGCAGCAATACCGAGTTACAACAATAAGCATCTGGAAGAACCCTCAATTCACCCCACTAAAAAGAACGTATTCCAAACACTTCGAGTCTCTAATCGAAAGCAGACACAGGTATTTTGAGAACAGCAATGTGTGAATTTCCTGTACTTTAATTTCACACTCCTTATGTAACAAAACAAAACAAGCTGTTTTTCTCCTAAGTCTTGCTACAGTCATGTGTTTACTAAGATAAATTAGCTTACCTTTAACAATTTATGCTGCTGAAGTGTTTCACGGGATACATTCAAAGGAAGGTCATCAGAATCCACCTAATGGAGGAAGCAAATTTTAAGTACACCTGACAATATTTAAAGATTAAAAAAATCCAATCAAATGATAGTAGGACATTTAATACTTACAACACCCTTAACAAAGTTAAGATATTTGGGCATCATGTCATGGAAGTCATCAGTGATGAAGACTCTTCGAACGTACAGCTGAATTAAAAGAGGAGACAGCAGCCAGGTTATTTATTTAGTGAGTTCTTTTTTCCATGAAACCATGTCCACACACTTGCTTGTCCTACCTTAATGAAATCACTTTTTTTGGATCCATATTCATCAAACAGTCCACGTGGAGCAGAGTTAGGTACAAACAAGATGGATTTGAAAGTTACTTCCCCTTCAGCAGTGAAGTGGATGTATGCCATTGGGTCATCATGTTCCTGTGGAGAGAAAATGCTTTTAAATGACGTGGGGAAAATACCAGATTTAATACATTTCCAGTAATAACCTTAGTGTGCCAAATAAATGCAATTATTTTGCAGCTAATCTACCTAACCATGCTTTGTTAGAATCTATCATGCAGAAAAAAATTAAGTTATAAGAGCCTAGTTACAAAAATAACCTTCTGAAGAACCTACTTTTGGCTTGTTTTTCCAACAAGCCAAAAAAATACCCAATACCACAACAGCCAATACAGTATCATCACAGCACAGTTCAGAGACTCATAAGTTAACACATTACACTGTACTGATACAAAGATATTTCTAGAAAGCTGTATCTCCCTCTTTCTTCCACTGTGTGCAACAAGCACCACCACTCAGACTAAATATAACATTTCCTCTTAACATTTAGACACACCAGTAAGCTTCACGTGAGATAGACCATACTACTTCCCAAACCTAGGCCACTCAATGTTTGAGTGCCAGTACATTCTCTCTGGAAAAAAGATTAACTCCTGACTGAGATGTTATACCTTCCAGGCTCTCCACAATTCCATCTACTGACAGCAACTAATTAATTCTTAAAAAATAGCCCATCCTAAAAGCATTCAGTTTTATTTACACAGCAAGAGATACTAGAGCAAACCTTTTGCTTTGGAATCATCTTGAGGCTCAGAGCTTACCTTGGAAAAGGTTTTGTAGAAAGCTTTGTATTCATCTTCTTCAACTTCTTTCGATGGTCTCTGCCAGATTGGTTTTATGTCATTCATTAGCTCCCAATCCCAGACAGTCTTTTCAACCTAGGTAAGTAAACACCATAGTATAAAGACACTCATTCTTTACTTGGGTTAGGTATATTAAAAACAATCCACTGAAGCCAACTGGTAAAACAGAATGTAAAAAACACCAAATATGCTAATTTACGAAATTATGCAATGGCCTGGACACTCTCATTCAAGTAAATGCATTAGTGCAACACATGGGAACAAAAGTTTAGTCTACATTGTATTCTGTTGTTCTGTATACATTTAACACATTCACGGAGTACCAGTATTCCTGTTCTACTGCCACTCTGGAAAAAGCTTCCCAGCAGAGTGTACTTAATTTAAACTAGTCAGTGTCAAATTACTGAAGCTTGCTACCATTTCCACCAGTTCACTCAAATACTTATAATTAGCTCTGTGACCACTGCCCCACAAGGCTCTTGTCAGTCATCTGCCTGACCTCAACCAAGGCTGTTTCATTTACAGTCTACTCTCCTGCCAACACATTTCCACTTAAAAGGGACTGGTGCTTCAAAGCACACACTACTGAAATGCACCTCTGCAAGACTACCTAGGAAAATTGCTGAACTACCAGAGTTCCAGAACCCCAAGTTTAACAAAGTTTACCTTCTTAGTTTTTGGTTTCTTTTCTTCCTCCTCTTCTTCAACTGCAGCTTCATCATCATCTGTTTCTTCTTTCTCCTTTGCTTCCTCCTCTTCAATGGGTTCCTCAACAGTCTCTGTCTAAAGAGACAATTGAAAGTTGGGATTTGAACACCTTGACTTACTACCAGGTATGTTCTAGCATTCTCTCAAACAGCTTAGTCTCTCACAGCACTAGTTTGATTTGTGCTATTTGTCTATTGCAAACTTTTCTCTATACTGTTTTGTTGCATTTTCATGAATACATGCTTTCCTTCAATAAACTGGGAGATGACCATCCTCAAATTTAAGTTTTTCAGTGCTTTACACATAATGCTAATCTTGTGGATTTTAAATTGGTGCTACACCAAGAAAACATCAGAACAGGCCTAAACTTTAAGACAATGCTCTATTTTTAGAAGGACACCTACCATGACCTCATTTGAAAGCTTAAAGCTTCCATCTATCAAACAAAGCCAGTGGAAGAACAATCCTTCTTAGTAATCAGCAGTGTTTTTCCTTTGATAAAGTTCTTTGAGTCAGAATAAAACCAAGATCCTTTAAAGTTTTTGGAGAGAAACTTTAAATAAAATACTAGTCAGAAAAGTCTAGAACAGAAGGATCTTGGAAGTTAGACAAGTAGCAGCTCTATGGCATGTCTTCACCCATCCTGAAAGATCTGGCCAGACAACTGTCACAACCAAAGCTCATACTGTGCAACCCTCAGTTAAGTGTTCCCTTACCTTGCTGCTCCACACATAGATGGGGAAGTTTATGAACTGCGAGTATTTCTTTACAAGATTTTTCACAGTATCCAGTTCAAGATAATCAGATGCTTCCTCCTTCAAGACAAGGCTGAAGAAAATAAAAAAAAATACTTCTGTTTAAGTTCTGGGCAAGTATTTTGACACAGTTTTATAGGAGAAGATGCATTTTCCTGTTGCAGCTATAGCAATTCAGATTTATGCAAGTCAGCTTTAATAAGTTCAGCACAAAGAATCCCTCAAAAAATATAATCCCTTCTGAACTACTCCAAAGAGAAAGGGCAGTTGTTTTTATCACTTGAGGCAGAATACAGCAGGGAAAAGTCTGTAGGAAAACCTCAAGTCATATTGGTACTCATAAGGATCTCGATGCTCTTTCACTGGCTTTGCTTGAAACTACAGCACCAAGATCAACTTTTTCATACTAAGTGCCTTCTCCAGGAAGACAGCCTCTAAACCCAGTCCAAGTAAATTTATCTGCTCATGAAAACAATGAAAACAGGACTGTCAGTCTACCTCTATTTTTGAAATTTGCAAAGGCCAGCCTCACTAGTATATAAATAGCAGCCAGTTTACAAGACAAAGCTCTACAGCCACTGTATAGGTTTTGCCAGGCCACAGTTGTGTTGAGGAACTGAATGAGCCTGTATGCAGCTGAACTGTCCGGAATTACTTGCTGACAGTTGTCAGGATGCTCATGGTTTTCTAATTTTGGATGCAGCTTATAATTTGTATCTTTCTATTAAACTCAAAAAAGCTGTATTACAAGAATCAAATACTATGAGTCGGCATCACTATGATGCTGAAGTCACTCACACATTTCAATAAAAGCGTATCCACACAACTTATTTTCAAACCAAAAAAACTTAGTACTTACGTTATGGTTGTGCCACGTCCCAAAGTGTTCCCTCTTGGGTCATCAATCACAGAGAACTCATTTGAATCTGACTCCCAAATATGTTGAGTGTCATTGTTGTGTTTCGATGTGACAATAACTCTGTCTGCTACTAAGAAAGCAGAATAAAAGCCAACACCAAACTGGCCAATTAACTCAGATGTTGACTGGCTATCATCCTGCATTTCAGTCATCTTGTTTAAGAATTCACTTGTACCAGACTTTGCAATGGTACCCAGATTTTTGACCAATTCTTCCTTTGTCATGCCAATACCCGTATCTGTAACGTGAAGCATGTTCTTCTCTTTATCACACTGAAAAAAAAAATAAAGAAAAATGCAATTTGACTTCACTTTCAATCTTTATACACTGCCTCAGGAAAGTGGTATGTAGTAGTTGTTCAGATTCAAATATGCCTGGCTACAATAAATCAAATTTGAAGTAGCTACAGAAATAAGAAAGAGCCTCCCTTCCAAGTATTCCAGTACTTCAGTTACTCTTTATAAAATCAGAAATATATTTTTGCCATTGAAACAAGAGTAGTCTTTGATAAATTTAATTGCAAGGGTCCTGATGTGGTCCTAGTCTGTATTTGCATCAGTATGAAGCCAAAAATTTCGATTTAATGATGCACCATCTTTTTACATTCCTTCCATTGCTTCTGTGAAAGAGATGTTTGTATCTGATGCATCTTACCTTGATTTTGACTGTAAGTTCCTCATTACCAGCCAGGGCATTTTCATCAGTTAAGGATATCAACCGTATCTTATCTAAGGCATCCGAAGCATTTGAAATAAGCTCCCTTAGGAAAATCTGAAATAGAAACCAGTAGTCAGGAATTCCAGAAGAGACACAAACACACACACTCCCCCCCCCCCGTTCTAATGTAATCTACTGATTGATAAAGGTACTAACCTCTTTATTTTTATATAAAGAATTGATAATTAGCTTCATCATCCTGTTCACTTCTGCTTGAAATGCAAACTTCTCAGATTTTTCTCTGATTTCTTTGATCTGGGATGCATTTAGGCCATCTAATTGAATAGCTTCTTCCTCTCTGTTAGGACAATGAAAAACCTGTCAAATAGTCTCATCCACAAACAGCATCAGTAATTTTACCATCAAGCAACAGCAGTAACAGCATAGTTCAAACAACATAGAGGCTCTTTGTCCCCGATGCAGCCCAAAATTACATGATCAAATGAGCTAAATGCAGGAGCAACTATCCTCAACTGCACAACCTTAACCTAGAACTGTAGTGAAAATCCATGACTACAAGTGAGACTTTTCCATAAAAAGAAGTCCAGGGAATAATGCAGATACGTTAAAGCTACTGCAATCCTCAGCACGCAGCGCACTGCACAGATGAGGCACTTCATGAGCACAGAGCTATTTCATTAGTAGGTGATACACTGATGCCATTTATGACATGCAAGACTAAACCTCACGAACATACTAGTTTTTATACAGCTATCGGTATTGGACAAAACCAAGTCGAGCTTTCCTGAGCCCAAGTCCTCAGAGTCGCTTCAGAGTCTTTTCCAGAAATATTTTCTTTCCCTCAGCTGACCAGATCTCTCTTTTGAACAGCATTCCCCTCCCTCTTCTGAGGCCTCGGGCGTTACTGAGCACGAGCACTCCGGGTACCAACCTCTGCACAACTTCATCATCCGTTCGAGACCCTTCTCTGCTTTTGCCCAAGTCATCTTCCACGGTCCCATCTACATCCACCTCCTCGGCTCTGACCGACGCTGGGAAAACAAGAAAACCGACGCTCTGAACCCCCACACGGCCCAACTTCCCCGCTTACCCCTCCCCACGGAGTTCGGCTCAGCTCTGTCGCTCCACCGCCTCCCTCCCCCCGGGAAGCTGAGCCCAGCCGGAGACACAGGCGGTGGGCAGGGGCCGCCCCCTTGCTCCTTCCCCTCCGCCCCCGCCCGTGACGGCGCAGGAGCCGCCCCGGCCCCCTCCCCCCCGCCGCCCCAGCCCCGGGGACCGCACGGCCCGGGCAAAGGCCCGGCACCGCTCCCCGTCCCCGCGGGGCAGAGCGAGGGGTCCCCTCTTCCCCAGGCCCCATCTCTCCCCAGCGCCCTCCGTCCCCCCCTGCTCCAGCGAAGTGGGGAAAGGGGGCCTGCCGGCCGGGACCCCGACACCCGCCCCCCCCACACACACCCCGTCAGAACATTCTAGAAGTCTGCGGGCACTTACCGGCCAGGAGCAGCACGCACACCAGAGCGAGCCCCCACACGGACCTCATGGCGGCCGCGGTAACAAGCGAAGAGCCCCCGGCGCCGCTCCGAGCCCACCCCGACCCGCGCGGCCACCACCGCCACCTCCGCCGCCGATGGCGCTGGAGCGGCCGCGGCCCTCCCCCCTCCGCCTTATGAACCCCCTGCTCGGGGGCGCCGCACCGCGCCCGCCAATGGCAGCGCACCACGCCAAACACGCAGCCAATGGGAAGCCCGGAGGGGCTGGGCCCGCGGCCGCCGCCGCCAATCGCGGCTTTCCATGTGCGGTTTCCTGCGGTCGGAGCGTGGCCGGCGCCCATTGGCCGGCAGGGACGGCGCCGGGCCAATGGCGCGCGCGGGGGGGCGGTGCTGGGGCCGCAATGAATGGGTTGCTGCGGCGGGGCCACGTGGGGCGCGGCCGCCGGGAGCGACGGGCGCCCTGTCCGCGAGGAGCCGCTTCCGGGGACACGCGGGACGCTCGCCGGGGAGACGGGTGCTATGGCAACGGGAGCTTCCGGTCGCGGCGGCACCCCCGGGTGCAACAGAGGGGCGGAGGGTCACGGTTACGGCCGTGACTGGCGGGGCTGCGCGGCGGGAGCAGCGCCAGGCTCGGCTCGGCGCAGCCGCCGGCAGCGGGCGGGGGGGCAGTGGCCGGTTCCGCCAACGGCTCCGGTGTGCGCTTGCGCCACTGATCCGCGTTGCATGCCGGGAGCTGTAGTTCGCGCCATGAGGGCCCCTTGGCGCCCTCTGGTGGGAGCGTCATGATGGGGTCCCGGCGGCCCCGGTGGTGTCACCGCGCCCTTGGCCTTGACTCCCCGACCCCCTGCTGCCTGTCCAGTGCCCTCACACGGCCATGGCAGAGACTGCCTGGCTTCAGCCAAGCCTCCTGCGGCCTCGTCCGTGGAGACCTCGGTGCTGGTGCAGGATAAAGCAAATTGGGTGCTTGGCAGGTGTCCCTGGTTTCCAGCACTCTTCAGGGCGACCATCCCTCAGAGAGCTTGTTGGCCCTCCCCAGCCCACCCTCGGGGCCCATGTTTATCCACCGGGGGCCCGCTGGTGTGAGGGGACGCGGGGGCAGGTCCCCCCTGCCGGCCCTGCCAGGGAGGGACGGTGTGAGGAGCAGCTGGGATTTGTGGCACCGCTGCACAAGAGATGGGACATTCCCATCCTTCTCCAGTGTCCCTTTCAGGGACTGCAGCTTATGAAAAAAAGCGCCACAGTGTGGGTGCAAATCCTGCAGCGCGCCAGTGTTAACAACTTACATTAATAGGCTGCTTGAAACAAATTCTGACACACCCCCCACCCACCTTGCCATCCTGAAAAAATCTGCCCAGGCTTTCATGTGCCAGTCACCTGTTTCAGCTTACACGTGTGCAACACTGGATTGGGGGGAAAAAAAAAAAACAACAAACAAAAAAAACACCAACAAAGTGACAAGCACTGATTTAATGGACTTTGTACTCAGAGAGGAATGTGTTGGAAAGATACCGATCTGCAATGTTCACTACAAAAAATAAAAATCCTCACTGGGTTTACAACTTCACAAGTACAGAAATTAGTCAATAAGTAGCTAAAAGTCTTGTCAAAATGAAGTTTATTTCCTTTAGTTGCACAGTGGACCAGATAGAATTTTTTTTTTTAACTGTACCTTTTTGTCCTGCTGGTAATTAAAGTACATAGAACCGGAAAGGAGCCTCTGTATTGCACTAAATAATGTTCATCTTTGGGTTCTTCTCAATGAAGTGTCATGGTTCAACCCCAGCTGGCAACAAAGCCTCACACAGCCACCCTCTCACTCCTTCCCACAGAGTGAGGGGGAGAATTAGAAGAGAAGCTGTGAGAAAGCTTGTGGGCCGAGACAAAGGCAGTTTAGTAGGTAAAGCAAGAGCCACCCGTGAAAGCAAAGCAAAACAAGGAATTCATTCACCACTTCCCATGGGCGGGCAGGTGTTCAGCCATCCCCAGGAAAGCAGAGCTCCAGCACATGTAACAGTGATTTGGGAAGACAACACCATCACCCCCAACACCCTTCTGTTCCTTATTCCCTCAGCTTTATGTGAGCATGATGCCACATGGTCTGGAATATCCCTTGGGTCTGTAGGGGTCAGCTCTTCTGGCTGTGTCCCTCTCAACTTTTTATGACCCTCCAGCCTCCTCAGGGACCGTGGGGTGGGGTGAGGGGCAGAAAAGGCCTTGAACCTGTGCAAGCCCTGCTCAGAAATTACGAAAACACCCCTGAGTTATCAACTCTGTTTTTAGCACAAATCCAAAACACAAACCCACACTAGCTAAGAACATTAACTCTACCTCAGCCAAAACCAGGACACTGAACCAAAATTCAATCTTGACCTGTTAAAAAATAATCATGTAGCCCTTGTCTGTGATTTGTGGGTTTAGCAGTTGTTTTTCACTGATCACAAATTATCAGAGAAATACAAAGAAAAACTACTCTCCCAAAATGTATATGAGAATGACTGTGAAAACTGATGAGAGGTCAGTGTCAAGGTTGTAAGTAAAAAATTCTCTGTCAGATTTTTCTGGAGACCTGTGCGAACTAGTAGAATTATTTTCCAAAAAAGTAGTTTTACTTCTTTGAAAACACAATTTCATTATTCAGAAGTCTAAGCAGAGAAAGTTTGCCTTTTTCTAAAACTCACCTACAAGCAGTTCAGGATTTGATTTCCTGATTGTGCCTGTATGATTCCCGGAGTGAGATATGTTGCTTTATGACTGTGAATTTGAGGGACATAGGGATTCAGAGAATAATTATCCCTGTCTTGTAGAATTCTTGCAATAGCAGGTTTTTATGGCATTTCTGTTTTAGCAGTCATTTTGCTGGCAGCAGGAAAATATAATGCTTCGTGGCAATCTTTTTGAACTTTGGTAACTGGAATAGTAAGAAAGCAAACTAATTCTGTTATCAACTGTGCTGAACCAATAGAGATTTTAGATGAAGTTTTGTGGAATTCAAATTTAATTGGCTGCTTTGCTCCTATGAGTATACAAAGTAGAATGTTGCTGATAAATCTGTGTTTGTTGAATTTAGAGGCCAGACTAGTAAGAACTGTAATGAGTTTAGTGACATTCATTGCTTTATGTGAATTATACTGTTTACTTTCATGAATGCCCAGTTGGATTACCCAGGACAAACTGATAGGCAAGAATGAGGCAGCTGAGTACTTATACTTTCAGAGAGAAAGTTTGTTCTCTTTACAAGGAGGTTGTAAATTGAAGAAAATATCTTCCTTGAATATTAAACTTCTAAAAATAGTTTCTTTAATCTACTGTAAAACTATACACATACTGTCAAATACCACTGTCAATGTTATAAGCGTATCGGAGTGGGGTTTTCACTGATAATTTATTCATTTCAGCCTAATTTCTACTTAAAAAACTTAAGGGAGTTTTTAAGATCTTAGTTGCACTGACTACAGCTGCCGTTCAGAAGAAGCCTGAGTATCACCTTTCAGGATTTAATACAAAAAGAAAGGTGTAACAGTCAAGTGGTGATAGTTCCTCAGGAACTTAGCTGCATAAAAGAGTTCTATAGAAGTTAGATTGTTGTGCTCTGTTGTTCTGTTAACTAAAAATTCAGGGTCACGTGGTGATAAGAGCAATAGAATAGAGGCAGTCTTCTTCCATGCAAACAGAAGAGCAACACCCTCCCCAGTCCTCTGAATGCAACTTTATCAGGTCATCCGCCAGTCTGTGTGGAAGTCAGCTCACTGAAGCATGTCATGTGATTCCAGCTCTAAGCTGTAACCAGCAAGAGGTATAACCTTGACAGAAATAGCTGTAGAGATAAACTGAGAGGAGTTCATAAGACCTGACTGTGGGTATTTGACTGAAGCAGTCCTCCTTTCACTGTCCTGTTTTGGTGAATGTGAGACTCTTTCCTGAGCTGATTTAACTCTCTGCCCAGCAAAATACTCTGTAGTTAAATCAGTTTATAGCAGGTCCAGGCTGCACCAGACTAGAGCATGGTTAAGAGGAGGACTTTATGGCTAAGAGAAGGTGATATCCTGGTTTCCATGGTGGTGGGGTGAACGTGGGATGTAAATTACATAGGACAAAATATTGTACATAGATGCAAATGTAAGGAAGCCGTAACACTAAACAATGTGTTTGCATTGTCAGAATATCACCTCCTTTAATAAACAGTTACACTGAAATCTGTAACTGATGGAAGTTATATTTTTGTTCCTGGATAATTAAAGTGCTTTAATTTGTGTCACTGCTAAGTAGCCATTTACTGTCATAGTGCATTTGAAAAAGACATGTAAGTGATTTTATTTAAGAATAATTAATGCAGTCTGAAGTTAGTACCATCAAAATGAGTCCCATCTTTCTTACATTATAATGAATTGGAAATATGAAGAACTACTTATCTGCATTCTCTGTAATTTGAACTTCATTTGTGTCTTTTAAAACAATACACCGAGAGTTTATATTCCCTTCCTCTGCAAGGACTGTATCAGGGACTAAATACTGTATGTACAGCACAGACTGAAGACTTAACACTTACATAAGATGCTCTACAGTATTTGGGACTGAGTGTGAATATGAAACAAAAAAAAATGCTGTCATTAGCTAGCTTTTCAAGGTGATTATCCAAATAGCAGGACATTTTAACAGTAACTACATACAAGCAGTATTAAAATACTATTGTTTGTAAACACTGTCAGCTTTACTAAGAGCCCATGCTATGTATTATTCTTACTTGCCCTCTTTTTTATCAAAAACTTGACCAAAATACCATGTTTTGATTTCTACTCTTTTTTTTTTTTTTTCAGTTAGAAATACATCCTGTATCCACTGCCCACAAAGTTAGTCTCAGAATTAGTAATCCCCACCAAATTGGGAATCCAGTAGTCCTCTAGTTTTCAGAACTGAGAAGGCTAATGAAAAAGCGAGCTCTTTCATTCCTGTGCTGTGAATGACTGTGCACCCAAACAGTCTGCAGCTTCATTTCTTTGAATCTCTTATTCTTTGCAAAGGAACTGTAATATTGTTTGTTTTATGAAAAAGTGGGCTTTTGTTGATTTGTTCTCTTCTTGTCCACAGCTGGGTGCTGC